TTTAAGTGCTTGGGGCTGCAGAATATTTGATGTATTATTGAGCTTCTGATAGGAATATTTGTATCATCTCTCTCTCTCTCTCTCTCTCTCTCTCTCTGTCTCTGTCTATCATCTCTGTCTGTCTCTCTGTCTATCTCTCTATCATCTCCTGCCTTTATTATTTTTACAAATAACTCAAAGCAACAGACAATCACTGGAGGTTTTTAAGAAGAGACTGGACAGTCACTTATCTGAAATGGTATAGGTTCTCCTGCTTAAGCAAGGGGATGGACTAGAAGACCTCCAAGGTCCCTTCCAGCTCTATTCTGTTCATCTGTTCTATTCCTTCCTCTTCCTATTTTCCTGACAATAACCACCCTATGAGTTGGGTTGGGTTGAGAAAAAGTGACCAGCCCAAGGTTACCCACTTGGCTTTCAAGGATAAGGCAGGATTAGAATTCTCAATCTCTTAGAAATTGGCCAAAAGTCACCCAGCCAACATTCAAGGCAGGACTAGAGCTCACAGTTTCCTGACTTTTAGCCTGGTGCCTTTAATTACCAACCAGACCAAACTGGAGTGAATGTAAATTAGTTTTGAAATGATATTTTTCAGATCTTGCCTCTCACCCAAATGAAAGAATGGTGAGTTCCAGAGAAATAATGTTTATATTAAACAACTGCACGATATTTCATGTACTATAGGAATTCTGAGAGGAATGAATTTAAAAGTCATTTTACAGGAGGCCCTGTTTCCCCATCCAAATAAATGAAATGAATGTTCAAGCAAAGTAATGTTTATATCACATACACTGGATGACGTTTCATTTATTTCTGAGTTCCATTTACTTCTGAGATGCTGTTAAAATTTAAATGATTCTTGAAGTCGTTCTTGGAAAGGTCTCCTTCTTCGACAGTGTAAGGCGATTAATGTTATAATAACTACATTGGATGACTGTATTATATGCTTTATCTATAACATCAAATCCACAGTACGTATATTTGGTTTTGCTGATCTGCAAGTACAATTAAACCCAAGAAATGCTACTTATTTTTCTGAAACCACGGATAATTTTCTTTATATTAGACAGCAATTCTATCAATCTTGGTGTCAATTCATCGGTTTAAAATTGTGAGGGTTTAAGTATGGAAAAGAGAATTAAAGGCACATTGAGATACTCTTCTCTTAATGTCATTTGAATTGGATTATCAAGTGTATGCTATTTATGCTTGTATAAACATCACAGCTGAGTGGGTGGAAATGTCTTGGTTTTGTATCCATGTCTCTATCTCAACATGCATGTCTAGAGAATAACAGAGTTGGAGGGACCCTGGAGGTCTTCTAGTCCAACCTCCCGCTCAAACAGGAGGTCCTATACCATTCCAGATGGCTGTCCAGTCTCTACTTAAAAGCCTCCAGTGATGGAGCATCCACAACTTCTGAAGGCAAGTTGTTCAACTAGCTAATTGCTCTGACAGTCAGGAAATTTCTCCTTAGTTTTAGGTCAGTTCTCTCTTTAATGACCTTCTACTTGTTACTTCTCATCCTGCTCTCAGGTGCTTTGGTGTAGGGGGTCACCAACCTTTTGGACCTCAGAGATCACCAATCTCATAATTTTAAATCCCGCGGACCAGACACCCTGGGAAAATCCCACAAAATAGTCTGCAGGAAAATTCCCCACCCCGTTTTCCTACCGATTGATCATTCTTTATTTGGGATCACAGAATACTGTCTCCAGCTCCGTTCTCAGGGGGAAAAGAGAGAGAGAGAGAGACTTTGGCTTCATGCAAGGAAAGCAGCAGAAGCAGCAGAAGTCTTTCTCTCCCCCAAACTCTGACAGAAATGAGGCTTTGTGAGACTTGTCGTGCCAGCATAGCCTCTGGGTCCCAAAGGCTCATTTCTGGCGGAGTTTGGGGGAGAGAAAGAGAGACTTTTGCTGCTTTCCTTGCGGGCAGCCAAAGGCAGAAAAAAAAAAGCGGAACGAAGCAGCCCGGTGGCCAGGCAAGGCACATGGGGTGAGTGGGACAAGTTCCCTCCCTCCGCCTTTCCCCCCTCCCCTCTCTACCTCGTGTTGTTCACAATGCAAGCAACGCAAGCTTTGTGTTCCCGTGGGCCATGTAGGCGGTGCAGCCTTGTGTCCCTTTGCAGCCTGGATTGCTTTGTGGGGTGCTTTTGGGGTGACATTTCTCTGCAGACCACCAAAATTTTCTCACGGACCACCAATGGTCCCTGGCCCACTGGTTGGTGACCACTGCTCTGGAGAATAGATTGATCCCCCCTCTTCTCTGTGACAATTCTGTTATTCTGCAAGATATGAACACTATATAGTGTTGAAAAACATAGATAATAAGCATTTTTGGAGCTGCTGGTGTCCTATGCAGCACTGGTGGAAGCAAGAAGTATTTCTGCTTTACAGGAAGTAAAATGCCTCAGCAGTTTTGTTTTTAAAGTCAGCACTGTCATTTGGAAATGTTGACTTGACAAGTGCCCTAATGTTAGCAGTCATCTTAAGACAAAAGAAGAAACAGAGGCATATAAAGTTGAATTCATTGCTCCTGCTGCTCCTTCCTGCTCCTGTCACTTTCTAAACAAAGGGTAATGGCAAAAGGGAGAACAATTCAGTAATGGTTTTATAATCAGACTAAGCCCTAGATGTTGCAATGAAATGAAAGTCAGTACATTCTCCACTATCATTCTTGGTGTACGCTGCCAAATGTTAACTGCATTCTAACTGATATTTTAATATTACAAAATGGGCTGAGTAACACATTTTAACACTCGCAGAAGGAAAATTCACCTCTGCTCTGCTTTCTAACAGAAACATCAGGACTTGTGATATGAATTTATTATCTGGAATAGAAAAGAATAATAGAGTTGGAAGGGACCTTGGAGGTCTTCTAGTCCAACCCCCTGTTTAGGCAGGAAACCCTACACCACTTCAGACAAATGGTTAGCCAACACCTTTTTAAAAACTTCCAGTGTTGGAGCATCCAGAACTTCTGAGGGAAAGTTGTTCCTCTGATTAATTGTTCTGTCAGGAAATTTCTCCTTAGTTCTAGGTTGCTTCCCTCCTTGATTAATTTCTGCCCCCTCAGGTGCTTTAGAGAATAGCTTGACTGCCTCTTCTTTGGGGCAGCCCCTGAAATATTGGAACTCCTAGTCCTTCTTTTCATTAAAATTAGATATACCCAGTTCCTGCAACCATTCTTCATGTTTTAGCCTTCAATCCCTTAATCATCTTTGTTGATTTATCTATCTATCTATC